AAAATATAGCAATTAAATGTGGGTCCAGGGATACAGCTTAGCAGCACAACACCTGTCTGGCAAGTGCCAAGTCCTGAGTTTGATGCCCGACACCACAAAGAGAAAAGGATGTGTGATGTGATCCACAGCTCCTCTCCCTCTCAGGAACCAGTGCCCAATGCCCCCGCCCGGTACAATGCACCCACAATTCTGTCCGTGAAAAGCCCATAACAACCTCCCGATGCAAACACTGAGAATAAAAGGCTGTAAGAATCCAAAGCTGTGCTTACTGCCTGTCACAAAGTCTGTAAGAAATTCATGTTCAGATTCTGGGTTACTGCCACTTGGCCCGCCTCTGAGTGACCTGGCAGTGATTATAGGTCAACCCTCTAGTCTTATACCACAGTGAACTCTGGTGAGGCACCATCAGCCCACACAGGAGATCCAGGAGTCATGTATGTATGCTTTTGAAGATTTAATGCTTTTGCTTTCTGTGATAGGGTCTCACTGTGTAGTTCGGGTTGGCCTTGAACTCATTATGTAGCACAAGCTGGCCTCAAACTCCAGGTGATCCTTCTGCCTCGGTCCCCCTAGTGCCAAGATTACAGGTGTGCACCACTATACCTGGCTTGCTTTTGTGTTTTACTATCAAGAATTTGTGCCTGAGTTATCAATTAAAAGAAATTCAAGCCAGGCATGGTGGTACATGCTTGTAACCCCAGCACTTGGGAGGCTGAGGCAGGGGGATCACTGCGAGTTTGAGGACAGCCTAGGCTACAAAGTGAGTTGAAGGTCAGCCTGAACACACAATGAAACCCTGTCTCAAAAACACCAAAAAAAAAGCAATTTTTTTTCACTGAGCCACTAGATGGGAAAGCAAGATACAAGTTAAAATGGAATATAAGCAGAAGACACAAATTCTCCAAGGAACTTAAAATCTTTTAAGGGGAGATGAAATTCAAACACTTAAGATGTAAGACAGAACAAGTTCCAAACAGAACAAGACACATATAGTCTTACCGATCAGGGCAGTCCTCACCTTGTTAATCATCAATACTATTATACTCTCATTTATTTAAGAGCCACTATAGGGTGCCTGCTTCCTCTTGAAAAAGAAGTTTCCTTGAGCACCTCCCAGTTTCCCTCTATCACCCTGCAGGCCAACCCAACCTTCTATCTCCAGGGTAAGACTTCCCCAATACAACCTCAAGGAGTTTCCCACTGAACCACTTGGGAGTTTTACTATGCTGTAAATGGACTGCAGAGCATAATTCCCCATCACTTCGCATGGTCCTGCCGTATAATAAACACTCTGGAAAAGTTTATTAACCAGGGTATGAACTCAACTGATAGTTTTATGGGGAGGCTCCTAAATCATTTGTTTCATTTTACAGAAGACAATCACTACAGGTTTGGGGGTTAGTTCCTAAGTCGTGCTGGACCCACATTTAATTGCTACCAGCGTTTATCTCTGGAAAGCTCATATACTACTCTACAGTTTTCTACACTGTGAGCTTTTTATAATGACAGCTACACCCATAAATACTAGCATTGGAGCACAAAATACAAGAAGTCTTCCTAATTTGTAGGACAAAAAGAATGAATCAGATGACCCTGAAGCCCCATTCTGGCTCAGTGACACCTGTGTACAATTACGGACAGTCTCCACATTTGGCATGTGCAGAAATACAAAGTATAATGTGGTCAAGATCTCCAGCAGCTGAGGAATGAGAAATGACAGGCCCATTTTGGGACAGTGATAAAGGGGAGAGGGGACAGTGGGCTGCTATTCATGGTAGGGAGTGTCATCCAGAAGCCTTACCGCAGATAAGACACTGTCCCAGTGAAATTCTACTCTCAGTGTTGAGAGCCTGTCTCCCCTGACATACTCACGGGGCCTACGAAAGGGCGGTGGGTGAGATGGGAGCTCAGCAGCCCGTAAGAGTCCCCAGGCCCCACTATGCCACATTAACAATATAAAGCAGGGCTGGGGTCCAGAGGTAATTAAAAATGCTCACTGCTCTCAGCAACCTGGAGAAGAACATATTTCCTCTCTGAAGTGAAAACACTTAGGTGAAAGAACATTTAGTGAGAACTATCATATGCCAATCACTATGCTCTGAGAATATAAAAATTAAAGATGCTGTCCCAAGCGATGATCAAACATATCAACACAAAACTGTGTAATAAGTATCCTTTTTTAAACTTAAAAAAAAAAAAAAAAGAATTTTGAAACACACCTGGTCTCAGGGGTTTTTTAGAAAACTAATTGTGGACTTGCAAAAATACTGTTTTAGTTTTGAAGATCACTGACAATTATTAAACTAAGAATGCACATCATTAATATTATAACATCATTATATACTACATACTATTATTACCAAAATCAGTATGTTGGGTTAATCCCCTGGAAGGACAGAGTAAACAGCATGACATCTACCCCAATGGTCTCAATTTGAAATGAGTAATAAGCAGGTGGGCTCTCCCTCCGGAAAGCAGCGGGGCCGACTTACGGGTGTGGTTTCATCTCTATGTAGTTCTTGGGTATGAAGCCATCCTTTCCATTGAGCTCTGCCTTGTACCAATTCTGATCACATTCTTCATTCAAAACCTGGGAAGAAATTAGACAAGGAAAAATCAGTCACTTCTCTAAGGTTGCCTGCCTGTGCTGCCTTAGGTTTGTGAAAGGTCTTATTCCAAGTTCTGTCGGTTATACAGAGATAAGACTACTTGTAATTTCAGAAAACCAGCAAAATGTTAAACTCTAAAAATTAAAAACACAAAGAAATTGTCTCTTGAAATCAAAAGTCAGGCTTCCGAATATCTTAAACCTTCAGAAAGAAAGCAGAGCCAGGCACGGTGCCGCACGCCTGTAATCCTAGCACTGGGGAGGCTGAGGCAGGAGGAAAGCTGTGAGTCTGAGGTCTGCCTGCGATAAATAGCAAGACACCATCTGAACCAAACCAAACAAAATGAAAGCACAATGGGGAAAAGTATTATTAGTTTTTTCTTTCTTTTTTTTTGAGACAAGGTCTTGCCATACAGTTCGGGCTAGCCTTGACCCAGGCTGGTCTCAAGCTTGCAGTGACACTCCTGTTTCAGCCTCCCCAGTGCTAGGATTACAGGCATGTGCCACTGTGCCCAGTTTAATATTAGTTTTTTTTTCTTTTTTTAAAGAAAGGAGCTGGATGTGGTGGCACATGCCTGTAATCCTAGCACTTGAGAGGCTAAGGCAGGAGGATTACCACAAGTTCCAGGCTAGCCTGGGGAACACAATGAGTTCAGGAACAGCCTGAACTATACAGCAAGACCTTGTCTCAAAAAAAAAAAAAAAAAAAAAAATTTTTTTTTTGCGGTGGGTCTTTTTTTGGAGACAGGGTCTCACTATGCAGTTCAGGCTGACCTTGAGCTTACTTTGTAGCCCAGGCTGGGCTACAACTTGCAAAGATCCTCCTGCCTCAGCCTCCCGAGTGCTGGGATTACAGGCATGTGTCACCACGCCTAGCAGAAAGAAAGACAGAAATTAGGAAATTCTAGAAAACAGTAAACACTGACATCAGAGAATGAAGGGAGCTCGGTAGAGATTACACATGACCTGGGACAGAGACCTATGACAATAGAAGCAAGGAGCAATAAGGAAGAATTTTTATCCTTCTCTAGAGAGCTCCTAGAATCCAGAGACCCAATCCTGGGATTTTTCAACTGTTTCTCTAGATTACTCCAAGAACAGACCTTCCACCAAGCAGCTCCACAGTGCTGTTGTGTGTGTACAACCACATACCCTTATATGGGAAAACTTTACTCACTATGTAGCCCAGGCTGGCCTCAAGCTCCCAGCGGTCCTCCTGCCTCAGCCTCCTGAGTCCTGGGATTATAGGGGTATGCAACCACACCCAACAGGAAAATTATTTTTAATGGCCAAGCATGGCAAGTCCTACCACTTTATTAACCCTCATGGACCATGTGTTCAGGTTAGATAATGCTAAAGCACACACACCAAGCAGCACAAATTGGGTAAAGACTTTGAGATGATAAACTGAGCCACTGCATTCTACAGATGGGAAAACACATCTAGAAAAATGAAATGGCCTTGAACTAGTGACCTCATGTAGCTCACAATCACACCCAGGGCTGGCATGTAGCTCAGTGGTAGAGCATTTGCCTTGCATACATGAGGCTGAATCATCTCCTTACTTTCAGATTCCAAATGAATGTTCCATAGTTGCCTCCCATAAGCCACATGGACAGGCCGAGCCCTGAGGCTAAGCAGTAGAAAATGAGGACCAAAACAGAATTTGGGGTAGATGCCACACTCTGGATTCTGGACTTTTAACAAAAGGCAAAGGGTAGAAGGTATAAAGTTTGTCTCTGAAAGAGAAGAGAAAACCTAGCCAGGCATGGCTGTACACACCTGTAATCCCTGGACTGAGAGGCTGAGCCAGGAGAGCATAAACATGAACCTAGCCTGGGGAATTTTGCGAGTTCCTGTTTCAAAATATAAAAACAAATAAAAAGGGCTGGGGATGTAGATCAGTGAGAAGGCCCTGGGTTTAGTCCCCAATACCAGGAAATACAAAGGAAAGAGGAGGCAAGAGAGAAGAGAAAGGGGAGAGAGAATAGAGACGTGTGCATTATTCCAAAGTGGTGAGTGAAGGAAATGCCAACTACAATAGTAGTTCATCTACTACATTACAAAGTTCTAAAAAGAAGCCAGTAAGATTCTTTATGAAATAACTTACTCAAGATAATGAACAATGTTCCACTCAGCCAAATTAGAACCTGGGGTTCTTTAAAGTGTCTGATGTCTGTGTGCTGACATTTCCTAGTGACTTACGAAAGGCACTAGAAGGGGCAGACCGGCTGACAGGTAACAGTGACTCCAAGCTGCAAGGATGACTAATCCAGGCTCGTTCACTTTCACAGGCCTGGCCTAAGGAGCTTTGCCCTGCTGGTGCCGATCTGTGATGCTAATCGGCCTCGGGCCACAAGCAGTGGTCACTGGGTTTAAGTGCACCTGTACACAGGGTAAGGTGGCAAATCTGGTGAGAGCTAATAAATGTGCACTGTTCAAAAAAATTAGCACTGTGGGCATGGCAGCTTCACCACTCTCGAGTCTCACACATGCCAACAGTGCAGTGACAGAACTTTTCTTTATTTTTTTTCTCCTTTAAAGTATCATTTTACTAAAGACTGCAGTGATATAAAACATACTAACATATAGTCACAATTTTAAAAATCATTTAAAAACACTAAACTGTGCTGTGCCCAGCAGAGGCATTTTGTTGCTCACAAAGTCAAAACGAAGATAAAGGCTTGGGAAGGGGAGGGCACGTACCCCCTCTCTGGAGCAGGAGACCTCTCAACAACCTGCTGGACAGGAGCTTCTTAACCATTGTATGCCGCATCAGCATTTGCAAGAACGCCCTGACACTTGGATGGCTTAACTTAAAAAGACATTTACAAATTAAATTTTATTCAAATGTTTAAACATACAAACCAGCAAAAGAAACAAATGAACATGAGTAATTCTGAGTAGAGTGAGCGGGAGACCAGAGCCCTTAATGGGTGCCTCTGAAGACTGGTTCTAGATGAAAGGGCACATCCTCCATTAACAATGCTTCAAGCCTGATGCAGTGCTGAGGATGAGGAAGTTGCTTTTGCCACCATTTCCTCACAAAAGATGGCTTATCACTGGCTCATCCCTGACCTCCTCACAAACAGGTAAGCTCACCAACCAACGTTCTGCCCCATTTTGCAGATTCCAAGGGACGTCTCTAGCTCTTTTCATTCCAGCCTCCACATTCCCTCATGTTAGCCATACAAAGAAACACTCTGCATTCACAGAAGCAGACTGGCTGAGAGATGTGATCATGCAAAGAGGAAATGCCAAGTTTTAGTGAAGGTTTTTTTTTTTTTTTTTTTTTTGTAAAAGACACTCTGAAAATAATGTTAGCCCAAATCAGAAAGAAATTTAAGAAATGAAGAATGAGGTGAGCTTTACCATACAGGAAAATTAAAAACATTCTAGCCAGTAGAAGGGGATACCAGGAATTTTTGCAGGGAGGGGTATAAGGAATCGAACTCAGGACACCTCGTGCTTGCTAGGCAGGTGCTTGTGCCACTGAGCTACATCCCCAGCCCAATACGAGGAATTTTTGAGGTGTCACTTAATATTTCTTGAGCAAGTGGAGTGTACATAGGTGTGTTTGATTTGTAAAAATTCACTTCATCATATAGATGCATTTTTCTTTATGTCATTATACCAGAACCTAAAGTTAGAACTAGTCCAGTCAAGAAAACATAGGAATATAGTTTACAGTGTGAACATGAGGAAAATACATCAAGGTCTCACATACTTCAGAGAGAATTTCCACACCCCACAAAATATATGGGAAAGCAGAAAATAACAGTGAGACCTAAGAAATCCCCACAATGATACCTCATCATTGCTACTCTATGAAAAAACTTAACTCCCAGAAGTAAGACTTTCTTCACCATAGACAAATCAGCACTGAGCACGCTCAGCCTTTCTATAGTATGTTATATCACTGCTGGGCTAAATTCTCACTTCAATATGAGACCACTCTAAAGGCAGCACGTGATTTCCATTCATACCAGTAACAACTGGACATTTTCTGAAAGGTTAAGAAGAAAAGAACTCAGTAATGAGATAGATGTGGATCTTGTGGGCCAGGATGCAGCTCAGCAGCACAGTGTTTGCCTAGCATGTATGAAGCCCTGCATTTGGTCCTTAAGAAAGTGGACACACACACACACACACACACACACACACAC